ATCGATTACCATGCGATATAAGTCGCCAGGGATCGCCCGTTGAATCCAGCACAATAGCGGCAGGAAACGAAATCGAAATCGAAAATTTCGAGTTAGATTTAGAATATGCTCAGATGATCAAAAATGCATTCGATTGCTTAGCTAGGGCTGGCACAAACTCCCTAATACTTTATTATTAATTTTATAGAAGTTCATGTTGTGTTTGAATTCTAGCTCCTACCCTATCTCCACCTTCCGCTTCGTTCAAACTAAACCTCTTCGTTCAAATTACATTTTTGGCATCTTAATTTGAAAAAAATCCTGTCTGGATCACGTCATGTGAAGTTTTTTTCTTTGAATCCATTGCATTTTCGTTGATTAGTTGTTCATGCTATTGTTGATGTTATAATATATTATATTTTTCATATATGTTCTATTAATATATTGTTTCATTGATACATTCTGTTACTTTATTTAAATTGTATTTCATCAATAATATTTCCGGTTACGTAGTTAATTATTGTTATTATAGTTTAATTAATTTACACCTGGTTGTTTTTTATTAAATAGTAATTGCTCGATTCCGGTATCGATATCTGAACGGTGTTCTCATTTGATTCTATTCCTTAGGGAATCGAATCTATTCTATAATCGACTCGAACGTCCCTAGTTTCGTATCAGTAGTACGACAGAAAGCAAAGTCTGAGTATTGCGCACGCGTATTACAATTTCCGAGTAGAATGCGCAGGGGGATTTATATCCATTCGAATACCAAGCTAAATGAAACGCCGAATACCAAGCGACGAAATTTCAATATCACAAAATAAGCGAAACGTACACAACTAGTAAAAAAGTGTGATTAGGGTACCCAATATTCGTATTTTTGCTGTCCAACTTTCTCAAAAATCCGCATCGCGGCTCTAGGGGTCCCGCATTCGGGCAATATTTGGCAACACTGGTGGTGAAATTCTTACGTCTTGAGCCAGTACTTCCGTTTGCGATGAATTTCGCAGCGGTTTCTTGTATATTACTCCTCAGAATGCCCGGTGATTTATGATATATAACATTTAATATCGTCTGATCCCTATAAAATTTCCTACGTATTTGACTCAAGTTTAATGGGTAAATAATTCGTATAAAATTCATATAATTATATAAAACCGTTCATGAGTCCCCATTGTTTCTAAATGTATATCTCACAAAAGCCATATCTCGTAGATTATATCTGAATGTAATATATACTCTCTATTTATTATACTTCGATTTATTTATAGTTTCATTTGACAGATCATCAGCTATTACGGTGTCACCCAATCAGCTTAAACGTCATTATTCTGTCACACGACTGTGACATTCAGTCTCCTGGTTGGATGACTCCGTGACAGCTGAATTACGTCATTATATTATAATTTTAAATCCAAGTACAGATAATATCTCGATCTAATCACCTTATGGTTACGTAGCTTGGGTTTGCAGATATTCTTCTTCTTAGTATGTTGTTCCTAGTTGCTATTTCCTTTGTTGTCTTCATACTAACAGCAACCAAAGTAGCCAGAAGTACCACGATCCACGATTTTTACCAGGTTTTTAATGCAGATACCATACACCAGGATGAAGACATCCTGGTTCGTTTAAATATCAGGATTTTAAGTCTTCGGTAATTAATACTGTACGATTTAAGATTTGTATAATAATTTGTATTCAATACTTTAAAACTAACATCAAAATTACAAATAACTACGATATTGGTGAAAACTGTCTAAAAACATAGGATAGTACTTTTCTAGCACATGCTATAGCAACGAGCTACAATAAACGTTATATAGCTTGTATAGTAGACAAGGATATTCGTCTTAGTCTTCCATTTAGTTTATCAATATAAAATGAATTGATATCGAGAGTATAACGAACTACCTTTGCGAGTGTATTTCCGCCATGCGTGCGCGTTAAAACAAAACAACATCGTTATAATACGATCAATTTCGGAGTTTAAATTAGTATCTGTCATGGGTACCAGTATTTTTAAGAGGATAATCATCTTGCAACACAGCTAGATTTAATCATCTAGCAACGCCGACAGCAGCTGTCACAGACTGACTGAGAGGTCTAATGTACTGTGTAAGTCACCAAGTGAAAAGATCACAGTCAAATGTCAAATTCCCGAGAAGCCAAGATAGGGAAGTAAGAATAATATAAATTACGTGGTTTTGTTTGCAGAGTTCAGTCAAACTACAAACGTGTGCGGAAAATGTAATGAATGTGTCTTTTGAAGGAAATGGAAGTGCCACAAAGGTTTTATATTTAATTTTCTTTTACATTTAAGTAATTTCTAATTGGATGTTTTTATTTGATAATAGTTTGATGTTGATCATCATAAATTAAAATATAAATCCTAGAAACTTATTATTATGAATTTTTGATAGAGTATATTCTTTGGTTAGATAAATATCTTTTACAACTAGTATATTATGGCCATTTACATTTTTTCATATTTAAATGTGAAATTATCCCCATTGGTAATGTACATAATAAATGTCGGTTGCTTATCAGTGGGTTAAAAGTTTTATTTTTCCATTGGAAAATATAACCCTTTATTTTAAATGTATACGTCAACCAGCTTGCGATACCATTCGCGAATTCTGTTTTTAAATGACTACATTTAAACAACTTACGGCTGACGTTTCTATTAGTTTATTTGCATGAATTTCAAATCTGAATATTATATCCGCACACTTTCTGGAGCCCTGGAATACATACACCCTCCCTGAAGGATAAGTAATAGCAACAAGCGTTGTTGACAAAATCTGATAACCATAAATGTTCATTACCGTATTATATAAACTATTTTCTATTGAAAAACGATCTACAAATTTGAGTAGTCTCCTAAAATTAACTGACGCCCTCACCCACACCCCTCGTATCTAGAGAACTGAGGGTTCAAGAAAACGCATGGATAATAGCAGCCTGGGAGTTTGATGATCGAAACAATTTTCTGACATCAATACCCTGACAAACGAAAAGGAAGGTCGCCTACCAGAATAATGGAAACGAATATGGTAATAGTGTATCATAAGTGACAACACAAGACATTGCCAGAATTATAAAGTGGAATTGCATGAGGTGAGACACAATTCCGTATACCCAAAATCGCTACTTGTGACTATAAACAATGTTCAGTGATGACAGTTGTTGTAGACAAACTTACCAACTCATAGAAAAAAAACGCAAATCGTTAAAATTACATCTCGGATGTTAAACTTGAGGTAACTTCTCAAATCTGCTGTGTCATAGAAACCAAATAGTATTTTTTACCAATGTCACAGTTTTATCGTTTTACTAATTGCGAATAGAATTTGCTTAGTTTTCTATTAAAACAAATTAACGTTTCGATATATATGGTCGTAGGAATATTATTAGGTCCTATATTGATAATTTATGGACAGTAACGACGGCAGACTCTAGGAACCATGCTAGGGGAAAAGCAATCATCGAGAAATTGGAAAAAATGAAACCTCTATAACTGCATTCCAAAAAAAAAATATTTACAGAATTTGAGGTCATGGTGTCGGGGAGACTATATAAAAGTAGACACGCGACCAGTCTATATCTCATGAGATTTTTTCGATGTTTTAAGGCAAAATATGCGATTTGAATACAAACGATCTTTTTGAAATAAAATTTTCGTGATTGTACCTGAATCGTTGCCTTTCGCCAAATTTCGGTAATAATCGTTTTGATGCGCATGATGCAAAAAGAGTATAACACTGCGCTTCTCCCAGTAATACAGCCAATAAGAGCTGTCGTATGTGAGTGCTAACAAATACCATAACGGTATTTGGTACTAAGAGGGAATTTTATAAGTGATCAAAGAGGATATTTTTATGTAGAATGTAGGAAGACTACTGTTCCTCTGAGAAAATGTTTACGCTTAATTCATAAATTAGCAAGTAAATAATGTTTTAGTGATGTGTGATACTTTTTTAATCAGAACAAAGCGATGTCATTACCTATTCACATTCGGTATTCAGATGTTTTTTTCAAATTACCGGATACGGTACGTACCTTTAGTACTTTTCAATCCGTAAATGTAGAGCTCGATGTAATTAATTGTTATGATGAACTAAATCGGTTACACACATTTTTTATTCATTACACATTTTTTATCAGTGCTAATAGGGAATGATGAAAATCTTTTTAAAATGATTGGTTGTCAAACTTGCGGCAAGTTGCGCAGCCTTTTCTACTGTCGACGTGTCCCAGACAAAAACAAGTTTGTTTTTTAACAGATACAACCATGTTAAATTTGTCCGTCTTATTTCATAAACTTTCCTTTTTGAAAGTACTTATATCGCTATCAACCAGCACTGAATGTGTTCACTGACGTTTAAAAAAATGGAACTAGAAAATGTAAAAACGGATTTAGTTCGGGTTCAGTCGTACAATATTAAGGCATGCTTTAAAATATTACAAATAATCATTGAATAGAAGCATTTAGTAGAAGACCTAGTTGTAAGTTTAATCATTTTCACGAAATGCATTTTTATGGAGTTGATTTCACGCACTAATTCCAAGTAAATAATGGGAAATAACTTCTTATGAAGTAGAAATCACGGCCCTCTGCATTTTTTATGAAATTAATTTCATCATTGGCACTGTGTTGGAAAGACCGCACTGGTGAATCTAGCGGTAAGAAGTTCTCCAACATACTTCGTTAGGGACCACGAATATAACTACTTAGAAGATAATTCAGGCTCCAGAGAATGGGCGTGCTCTTGTAAATTGTGGGGCATTGTTGTCATAGTAACTATTTATTGTTCAGGGGGCCATATTGAATTCACTCTCAGGAGAGATCTTATGGTGTTTGACAGACAGCTGAAATCAAAGTTTTACCTTTCAACAAATGAGTGAATAAGCGGCGCCGTGTCTTAAAACATCCACGGTGTAGTTCCTTCATCAAAAGAACATCGCAGCAATCATTTGGAGAGTAGGAGGTAAGACCTGGCCACGAGACGAATTAAACAATGGCTTTGGACATTCATTGTATAGAAAATGACCCCCAAAGAATACTCGGAGTAAAAGAAGAAGTTGTAGTCACTCAAGAATTATTTCCTAATGCAGATTCTCGGAACTCTAATGCTTCGAATATTTTCTTAGAAAACGAATCAGTCGGCGAAAATCGATGCATACTGCCAATACTCGTAGATGACACGGAATTTGGAGTAGTGAACGAAGTGGTGGGAGCCGAGGGCTTACGAGTTGGTGCGAGCGTTATTCCCAATTCGAATGTGGAAGAAGAAATGGTGCGACGTGAAGCTATTCCTTTACAAAGCAAGATGCCATCGTGTTCAGGTCGAGGTCGTCGAGGCCATATGCGTTTCCCTACATCCGAAAACAATGATTTTAATAACGTTAACGATAGTATGAACAATGAAGTTCTTCTTGAAAGCGATCGTCGGACTACAATGCACTACATCAAATACATCAAAAGAGACGGTAAAACTTTTAAGTTATGGGAATGTGGCATTTGTAGTAAAGAATTCAGACATCAATATACTTTAATGAGACATCTCCCTACGCATACTGATGAACGAAATTTTAAGTGTGAAACGTGCGGCAAAGGGTTCCGACAAATGAGCACTCTTTCTCAGCATAGGGCCATTCATAGTGATGCAAGGCCTTATGTGTGTGAGGTTTGCACCAAGACATTCAACAGGGTGTCTACTTTAATATCACACAGAAAGACACATTCAGCTCATAAGCCACATAAATGTCATGTTTGTGGGAAAGGTTTTCATCAAAAAGGAAATTTGAGAAACCATATTTTCACTCACACAAATGAAAGACCTTACAAATGTGAAGTGTGTTCTAAAGGATTCAATCAAATGTCTAATCTGATGTGTCATAAAGTCAAAGCTCACAGTAATGGAGAAAGAGTTTTATACTCTTGCAATATTTGTAAACTGGAATTTCCCCGTAAGTATGCTCTAAAATCTCATGAACAGTATGCTCATGGTATTCAACAAACGGATAAAAATATTGCCATTCAAAAATTGGATGCTTCAAGTTTTGGAGGATTTTCTCAACAGAAAGAAAATACTGATCCTAATAACTCTGTTCAATTTGTGTGTTTAGGAAATGGAGAGAAAATTGAGAATTCCAGAAATTATATTCCAAACAATGTGTCTTTGCATACACTTAATAAAATTGAAGCTGAAGGAAGTTCAAATGGCCAAGATACTAAATCGTATCCAGGAATTATAATAGATGCTATTAATACTAAAGCAATGATGATTGCTAGAGAGACAGGGCAAACTGCATTTGCTCTCTTGAAACTTGCAAAAGGTAGTCCAGTTTTAGTAAAAGTTCTTTGTATATCTCATGAGAAACATATGCTAATTCCTGCTTCCGCAGAGGACTTGAAAACTGCTGATGAAATCACTATCTCATCAAATTTAGATGCAGCAAAAAATGGATCAGTTCGCGCTTTACACATTAAAATTCCAATAGTAGCTACAGTAATACAAAAAGCTGATGCAGATGGACGAATAACAATGCATGTAGAATCTCCAGGTTATAATCCAGATGTAAATCTTTTTGGTGATTCAAATGAGGCAATGCGAATTGCCAAACAGGGCTCAAGCATGCAAATTGCATCAACTATTTCTAGCAGGCCTTTCATGGATTGTAATTCTGACAATTCAAGCTCTGAAAATAAAATTGATGCTCATTCATTAGATCTTATAAATAACCATGTCAACTCTGATATTCAGAGATTCATGAATGTTGAAAATGGTAGTGATATACAGTTTATGTGTTCTTCAGTTAACGGAATGGAATATCAAGTTTTAAGTGCAGAAGAGGCAATGCAAATGATGCAGCAGCCTGTCCAGACAATAGAAGTTGTTAATGATAATATTAATCATATTCGACAAAGTCATGCAATGCAAGAGAACAACTTACCTGACTTTGTAGATGAAATGTGTTCTGACTTTCAGATGCATCAAGGAAACAATCCCATGATGATAACTCAGTCTGACTTGGATTCATTAGGAGTAGCTGTCAATCAGCAGGATCTTTCCTTTTCTAATGATGGCAACTTGTTACCATGCTAGAACATAGTTTTAGTTTTATCTTTGAAATGAACATTATGTAGTTCAACAAGAAAAGAATGAACACATCATTGTTCAGTACACACTTCCAAGTTAATTGTTTCTCATGTTCTAGATGTCTTAGATTTCTTGTTATATATTGTTAAATATTATTAAATGAATTGCAGGATATACAGCTGCATAAAAAATTGTATTAAAAAGAATTAATTATAATTTTTTGTTGCACGAATTGATTCAAAGTTATTTGGTGTTTGATATCTAATAAATATTTTATGTTTCTCATAAATTGAATTGTTAAAGATTGTACTAATATAAAAATAAATAAATGTTACGAAAAATGAAATTTTTGGAATTTGATATTACAAAAACATTTTCACTTACTTTAACATAGGCTAAGTCATTCACTTAAGTAGAATTCTAGTATGCCCTGCTAAATTATTTAAAATGGGGTTTTCATATGTTTTCAACAAACGAAAAAAGGGACTGTACAGTTTATTGATCTATTTAAGTTAAGAGTTGTTCTTTCTAGTTTTTGTTTTCTAATTATTATCTGCGGTCTTTTAAAAATCCCTCTCCGGCAAAAACAAAAATCATGTGTCAGTGCGAACATCAGCGGGCAATATGAAAGTAACAAATAATAACCGCGCACATTAACTTATATGTAGTTACATTTACTTCATGAGACTCAAAGTAGTTTTTGATGCAGTTCAAGTGTGAGTTTGATACTCTTCTTGAAGAATCGTGTTCAAATTTCTCCGTTCGGTACTGCTTTTGTTGGCTGTCCTGCAATTTCAGTGAGTGTAGTAGTGTCAAGCGCGCAAAAATGTTCAATGATTTCAAATACGAAATAGCATATTAATGCTAAAGTATCTTCTTAAAATGTCTTTATTACACCAGCCAGAACATGTTGATGAAGATAACGTTTTAGTTGCTACATTAGACAGTGTCAAAGTTTTATTACAGTTATTGAAGGCTATAAATTTCAGAGAGGTTAGTTTACTGCTTACGTTTGAACAAAATACAATCACATTTTTCCTCATGAAATTAAACGTCTTATTTCTTTCAGTGTGGAATTATATTTGCTACAGAAAAAGGACTGAAAGTGACTGTTGAAGATTCTAAATCTATTCAAGCTAGTGCATTTATTTCCGAAGATGTGTTTGAGGTTGGTTTTCCATATTTTTCCAATCAGTACATACTGTCAAAACGAAGTCCTGTAGTAATAAATGTTCTCTCTTGTGCAGACCTACACACTTAATGCAGAAGAAGTTGTTTTTAAGATTAATTTGAATGTTTTAAAAGAATGCTTGAATAGTATGTCATCTAGCAACTACATTGCACTGAAGATATCTTACAAAGGTTATGGAGATTCTCTTCGACTAATGTATGTTACATTAAATTGATTAGAAAATTGTTTACTAAGTGATTATTTAAATTATTCATTTATAAACTTCATAAAATATTGTTACTTTAGCATGTCACAAGGTAGTTCAATAACAGGCTGCAGTATCAAGACCATGGAGCCAGAGCAGATGCTTGATTTCCACACAGGAACCCTCAACATTATTAATAAAGTAATGTTACGTTCAGAATATTTGAAAGAAGTCTTTAATGAACTAGATCCAATGGCGGAATATGTAGAGTTCATATTATCACCAAACACTCCTTACTTTCGTTTATCCACACACAGTATAGGAGGAGATTGCAGGGTTTGTTTCTTTTTATCACTTGAACATATTTTTTAGTATATTTTTATGTTTTTAAAATGTGTGATTTTTGTTTTTTGTAGGTTGACATACCAAAGGATTGTGATATGATTGAATCATTTCAGTGTACATCTCTGACAGCTGCAAAGTAAGAAAAGTAATGATTTTTGTTTTAGAAACTGCCTTGTTAAAAAAAAGTCTGACATTAATTGTATGTTTTGTGTAGGTACAAACTGAGTCATATCAAGCCATCTTGTAAACCTCTTTCACTGTCTCAAAAAGTTTCAATTTCAACGGATGAAAGAGGACTTTTGTGCTTTCAGTATATGATTAGAATTGAGAACTATAATGGTTACATAGAATACTATGTAAGTAATTATTATAATGTTGGATTTTGGTAGCTTTGCAGTAAATCGGATAATAATGTTTCTTTCTTTTTTAACTTTTCTTTTTAGTGTACTCCAATAGTGGATTCTTATGATGATTGATCAGGGGCCATCAACAAAGGAATCTGAAGATACACTTTGTTTATCTTTTATCTTATTTGTGTTATTAATAGTGATATTTTAATGTTAATCTTTGAATAATTAGTGTCAAGATTCAGATAACGACTATTTGATTTGATGTAATATTCATTGAAATGAGTAGGTTCTTAAAGAATGAACATTGTTTATGACATATCAGTAAATAATTACTATTTAATGTTAGAACTTGAATAAAATAGAAACAATTGTATAATGAATAATTCTTCCTGAGAAGGTTTTAGTAACAATTTTAAAATGTGTAATCAATTATACTTTGGTGTCGATATAAGATTTGATATATTTTCAAAAGACATCTTATTGTGATATTGAGTGAATGTAATAGTATATTGTAAGATCATGTTGGATGTACTAAGAATTGACTAAATTAAAAGAAGAAATAATACATTATTGTTTTCTTTCTTTTCCACAGTAAGTAAATGGTTGAAAAAATAAATTATGTAACCTAATATAGGTCAATTGCATTTAAACTTCATTTAAAAATGACTTCAAAAATTGGGAAATCTACAAATGTCTTGATACTTCTACTAGTTACTCTTATCAAGTCATATTGCATTATTGCAATTTACATTAGTAATTTTTGAAACCATTTTTGGCTGCGAAAACCTCTTCTTTCAATGATTTAATTGTTGGTAACTTCTATAATAAGAGAGGACAATTAATTATTTAATCTATCATTAATTATGTTTACATATAAAACATGAAATACAATATATCATGATTTGAAATTTCATAAAAGTTTGTTTATGTGTAAAAAAAAATAGAGAAAAGAAATTAGTAAAATAGGTTTCTAAAATTATTGAAAGGACTTATTAAGATGTTGATTTTCAAATTATATAGAATTAAAATTTTTTTTCATTTTATTTTTGGCAGAAGTTGAAAAGAAATTATATTCTAAAGCCGTCCTTATTGTACAGAATTTTAGTTTTTGGAGATGGGGGAAGAGGGATTGTTTACAAGGTGAATTTTGTTTTTTATTCATTACATCTTCAAGATTTAGAAATCTCTGAAAATTAAAATATTTGTTGTTGTTGCATGATTTGTAGGGTATTGAAAAGGAGAGACAGAAATAATGTTTTTTGAAGAGCACATTATATATCACGTGGGAAAAATAAATAAAACAAAGATACTTCGGTTTTGTTTTCAGTGCTGGAGAATGCGTTTGATTTGCTCACTTTTGAGTGTCCAGACTCAAGGCTCGCAAATGTTATTTGGATTAATACAGAATTAACACAGCATATGCTTTGGGTCTTACATTATCAGTTTACTTGGAGGATCTATTTTCATTGTTATTTATTGTAATATATTATTGTTTGTAGAGTTATAAAGGGTGGAGACTTGGGTAGTTCATCCTTAGCAGTACACTTTTAGGGACTGCACCTTTTACTCCATGACTTTTTAAAATGCTGGATAAATGTAAATCTTTATTTTTTCAATCATATAATTAAAAATTCATCCAAAAGTTGTCTTTTAATTTTTAGATAATTATTTGAATATTTTTATTGCAATGCACAGAAAACAAAGAAACACAATTCCTACTTGGTCTTTCATCGAGTGCCTTTTGCCACTGAAGGCCTGAGAGTTATTGACAGTAGACCACACCCTCTGTTAAATCTATGCAAAATTGCAATGCAAATATAATGATGACTATATAAGAAAGTACACTCTATTGAATTTTATTTTAATTATTGTTATATTTATTATTATTATTATTATTATTGGGTTGCAGGGATGGAGCCTATCTGTTAGGTTGTTTTTTTTATTAATTATGTAGAATATGTGTTAAGAAAAGAAGAAGAAAACAAAGAAATAAAACTAAACAGAAATTAAGGGTGACCAGGGTGCAAATTTGTCTGGGCAGATTGCCAGGGATTATCACCCACCTGAGTTTAATGTCCCTTGCTGGAAAAGTATTTGTTTTTTCTTCGCAGGGATACTATTGCAAATCCTTTTGAGGCAACTCCATTTATTATTTCCTCACTGAAATTCAAATCAAATCCAAATGAAGAAATTCAGATAAAACATTGTGGAGAGCATTTTTAGGATTCATTCAAACTATGTTGTGTAAGATCATTTCAGGTGATGCAATTCTTCGATTTAGTCTCACCTGAAGTTTTGAAGGTCCTTCTCTGGAGATATCTGCTAATCCACAATCTGAGGGCAACTCATGGCTTAACATTCAGACTGCTTGCTTTTCACTGATAGGGTTGGTATTTGATTCCCATCCAATTGAAATGGAGTTTGTGGCGGGCAAAGCAGTTTCATGAACGGCCTGTCTTTCATTATTGTTCTCTCAACATTCTTTCACCCATCACTGAATTCTCATCTTCCATATTCACCTCCATACAAGGGCAAAAATTGACTGAACAAGTTGGCAAGCCCAGAAGTGAGAGGAAGAGAAAAAGAAGAAAAAAGAATGAGGATTAAGAGAAAAGAACAGATGAAGGAGATAGATGTTAAAAATAATGAAATGTAAATAAACAATTATGAAATATTATACATTTTAGCATTCACTGAAGATCTTCAGGAAAGATATTGAAGAGTAGTAGTATTCTTAAAAATGGGCAAGAAATAGAGAATTATGTTAAGAACATAGAGTATATATCGTACGTATATTAAGTTACACAATATATAAATTTGTGTGTATAAAATTACTGACAATATATAAGTTTACTATTTAATATTATTGATATTAATTAAGTTTACAAAAATTATTGATTACCGATATAACATAAGTTAATGATGCACAAATTAAAATAGATATGAATCTTGAATCTCTCTTATAGCTCTCAAATTAACAAATTTTCTTAAAATTTTTAATTAAAAATGTGTATATACCAATATAGTATGAACATACTGAAAGAAATCCTGTAATCTGGAATAAGGGAATATACGCTGGCCAATGTGAAACTCATGTTAATGCTGTGAAACATTCAATGTTACCAAACTAAACCATGTATCACACAATATTATATCACATGCACATGAAAAGTGAAATCTTAAAAATCTCTTTTGTTTAAAAATTAACAGCTTCACAGACAATGAAATTGTTATCTTCCAAAATACCATTTTTTTGATTCTTATGCATTACACACTTAAGATAATTTTCTTGTTCACAAACATTATGTAAAACACAAAAATCAAAATGTGTATCATGCTAACACCTATAATATACTACCATTGGTACACATCATCTGTATGCAAGAGAAAATCACCATGCCCATTTTGGATGTTACTTAATTATTTACATTACTAATTCATATTTTTTCTTTCAATTAGTAACATCATTGGAGTCCAGAATTTAGGATATACCAATTTATTGTCAAAATGTACAGGAAAATTCACCTTTAAACCTCTTTTTTTCCACTTTTCAAAAGTAATATTCGATATTAAAAAGCATGTTACAAGATACAAGTCCAATTTAGCAAAAGGCATTGAGTAAAAAAAATTGAACTCGATTTATTTCAACTTGATTTATCTCAGAACACAGTAGTCAATTTCACTTCTATTCAGGTATTTCGGATAATATATTATTGTTTAAAAGCACAGCAATTTGCTAAATGGTCATCAGATGTAAACCCAAAGATAGATCATATACCCAAAATTACTTAATATTTGCAACAGGTATTGAATAGGTCTTCAAGGAATAGGTTATCAAGGAAAGATTTTCATTATTGTCCGTTCAGTTATAAAAGCAATTTTTTGTTACACATTGATGTGAAACTAAATTGAGAGACATAATTGGTGATTAACATATACAAAAGATTCTCATTTCTTCCCAAACATTAGCCAACTTGTGCTTGTGCCATGATACTCCCTTTTATTCTTGTCATTCCACCAAATGGAGAATGTTCACATATGCCCATTTATATAGATAAAATGCAAAAAAAGTACTCTTTAAAACTTCCTTTTCACAAAATATTTAAATGCATAAATTCCTGACAATTTAGTCTGTTGCAGGCTTAATTAAGAACATATTAAAAGAAAACAACCCACACTCTGAAATTCAGGATTTATGGCACGTTGATTTACATACACTACTTAATTCACACACTTTCATATTTAACACTTAACATATTCTCATCTTTTTTCACACGATTTGCATCAATTCTTATAACATTCATTGCAGTGACAGTATTACAACAATGTAAATGACCTTGAAAACTATCTTTATCTCCAACTTGCACTCAACTCACACTTTGACCCTCCCACAACAGCTCTCACTCCAACCCATGTGATTAGTGGAATAATACATTTCACAGTGATACTAACTTGTTTTAAAACTTGTCAAAAAACATCTACTTCCTGAACAGACAATTATGGATCTGAATGGACCATGAACAACACTGTATATACTATGGCATATCACTTGAAATAAAAAATTACCACACAGCAATACTAAGAGATTATCAAAATTGACAGTATTATACTTCATATCATGGCTAGAATGAATTCCACTTCCAGCATGTCCTGCACTATCGTTTCCAGCAGGTAGTCTGTAATACAAGAAGAGGCGTTATTGAAAGACAAAATATTTAGTGCTTTTCCATCTTCATAAAACAAGGTTTCTGTACTCACCAGGTCATGCACACACCACTTGTTAATGTCCTCCATAGTCAAGAAGTTAGGTTTTGTTGTAATTGCCATCAGCCATTTTATAAACCTATAATAAAATTTGTAATATAAAAATTGCTAAGTAAAACACATATTCAATTTAATGTTGCTGCAAACAAAAATAATAACACTATATCAAAAATTAGGGGAATAACATTAGATTAAGGAGAATTGACTTTGGTTAATGAAAGGTTGAGCATGCTATTGTTGAGTGTTAATGTTATTGAAACAAAATGTATAGTTTAGGGGCAAGATACATTTAGGGAAGAAGTAGAATAAAGACAATTGTGCTTAACAGTGAAAATTTGAAATGGGTTAGGATATGTCATGCAGTTATTACAGATAACCATGTATGTTTTAAATACAGTTTTCAATACATTTGGAACAAAATAGCCAAAAAACTTAATTTCTCATTTAAATTACGGAATATTATTCATGACCAGTTGAACTATAAAAAATTGTAATTTCGATTATATTGATTAAGTTATTTGAAGAACTGTTAAATAGCCATTATTAATTGTTATAATTATGCAGTTAGGCTATGTTTGCAAAATTTAATGTCATTTAAATTAGCCACTGGTTACTTTTAAATAAATAAATAAAAATATTCATTATCCTAATAATTTGAAACCATTCAAAACAAACATGTCAAATATTTAATTTCACTTACCGTTCAGGATCACTTGGAAGAACACATCCTTCTTTTCCGCATCTCTCCTTCGGCTATTTTGCCAATTGGAAATCCAACAACGCCTATACTTCGGCATTTTTCTTCAAAATTATCAAACAAAAAAAATAACCAACCACTCTTAGTATATGTTGCATAACGAATGATAACGAATAAACCAGAATAAACTGTCAATGTTTTTAAAATTAGTTCGCAAAAGCCCCTACAGCGCTACTTACCAGGGTGGGCGATAATGGCGGACCTACCTCCCCTTGCTCCGTTACCCCCTTACCAATACTTTCAAATAAGGACGTTTTCCCACCTATTAAGTGACGCCCAAGTTTTTATGGGGAAGTGTCCAGGGAGTAGCAATTTTATGTTGAAATATTATGTCATAGATAAAAACATAAATAAAAAAGAGGCACTAAACACTACACATTGATGGCCTAGGCTACTTTTACACCTGAGTCCTCCGGCGGTTCGAGAATGAGCCCCCACCCTACACATATGGTACTGACATATTTTTATTAAGAGATAAATAAACATGAATTGTATCTGCATTACTATAAATAAATAAGGGACTTCAGTACTGAACCAAGAAGAGTAGAGCTACTGTACTTTACTGCAAATTACCCACAAATGGAAAATCAACATTAGTTCCATTGAATAGAGCGAAAAAAGTTGTATGGGCTCAAGAAAACGTGGTCATGTAAATACCAGTAAGATAAATTTCATTTGTTTAACAATAATCTAGAAGTAAATATTGTTACCCATAGTAGCGAAATTTATTTCTTGTAACAGTAATAGCTGTCATTTATTTGTTGACCGTAATTTATTGTTACAGTACGGGATCGAAAAACCGCTAAATGTCATGAACTGCCTCACCTATTAATTTACAATTCCACAGAAGTTATTTTCAAACTTTGGCACTCGGTATTCAAATTTGCATTGAAACCCGAGATGGTCTTCCGGGGCACTTTTCCAAAATCTGCATGAAATGTTCGTTTTTACCTCAAGAGCAACATTTTTATTTCACGTATTCGAAAATTACACTTTAAAAAACGGTAAAATATATTTAGAAGTAAAAATGGCATTTCTAATAGATCGCGTTATTATCTTCCATTTAAAACAAAAAGTAAACAGATTGGGCCTGGAGTTTCAGAGATAATTTGTCGAATTTATATTATTTTCCGCCATCTTTAATGGCGTCTCAAATCAGCCCAACCACACTTGATGGCACCCTGCACTTTTACATGTACTAAGGTGTCATGATGAATCACAAGGAATAGCGTCCGGAAGTTTTTGCATACTTGTGCGCCACTACCTGTTCGCTCCGTACATTAAAACATATCTTCGGTTAAAATAATAATATAAATCTTGAAAGACGTGTTTGTTTTCTATATTTTGAGACCCTTTAGATGCCGAGGCCTCCGGCCGCCGATTTCGCCCATGCGTTAAATCATTGGAGATTGGTGTTCATTTCTACACATTCAATTACGAAGTAGAACATGGATAAATAGCAGCAGCACAGGAGAGGGGAGGCTCGTCGAGCTTCAGTCCCCCGAAGGCATTCATGCGAATTCTACTAGCACAACAGAGGGGCACAGACTTCACCGTATTAGTTTTTTTTTATTTCCTTTGACTCCGTTTAGCTATTCGGACTTGCTACACACTCTTGACAGCTGCCATCTATCGCCGCCCAAGGTACATGTAAAACTCTTCACAGAAAATTTTTGAGTTTTCGTAAAACTTCGTTAGAAGTTATTTGAAGCACATTAACTCACAAATACAATAGTGTTTACAAATTGTTGGATATGTGCATATTAATAATGTGAAAGAGCTTTCAAAGAAATTACATTTGTGTAATTTAAAAAAAATACCCCAAAATGAACTTTACGTCATATTAAAGAGTGCAGTTAACACTGTCCGTTCGAAAAGTTTGAATAAAAATTTCGAACCAATAAAGAAAAAATAGAGTTAGAGCGTTTCTGAAAATGCGAAATTTTGACCAGTTTTCACAACAGTTTCAAGAAACTGTATGTGACATTATTTAAAATACATGTTCTAATATAATAATGTGAATAAATCACCGCTAATGTAAATATTGACATTGTGAGAGACAAGTAAAAAAATACATTTTTGTGATTTTTGAAAAAACGAAAAAATAGACAACATGGCGTTTATGTCATCTCATAGAGAGTTTATGTCTTCTCATTTAGCACTATCCCTACGAAAAGTTTGAAGAAAAAATTGAAGCCATTTTTTAAAAAAATCTTGTTATTTTTTAAAATTGAACATAATGCACGAAATTTTCCGCGAAAACTACTAAATTTTTCAAAAAATTTTCATAACCTTTCTGAAAGAACTCACTATAGACAACAAATTTTATATGAAGGAAAAACCTCTAACTTCAATTTTGTAGTTGTAGGAAGACGCCGCAAAGAAATTATACTTTTAAAATTTTCGAAAATTCAGAGTTAACAGTGAAAATGTGATCTATTCCACCTTTATAAGTCTATTTTAATCTATTTTTAAAAGAAATTTTAAAGAAAAAATTTAGAGCCGTTTTTGAGAAAATTTTGATAATGTCCGGGGGCTCCATATGAAGTACCTCCAAATTTTGAAGAAAGTTTTTCAAAATCGGGGCGCCTCGAGTGGAGCCAGATCGACCGGGATTCATTTTGGAAAAAATTTTACGTACGGTGAAGGTGCTAGTGGTGTTCACATACGGACGGACGTTTTGCCGACAAATGGTTTTTCGGTATCAAGGGCCCATAAAACAGGGATTCTGGTTACACTATATGTTAAAGGATTCTTTTCTTAACTTAGCAACTGGATTTACTCACTTTTTCGTTATTAGGGTCCGGCAATTAATTTTTTTCTGCCGAAAATCCGCCGTTTATCTGTGCAGCATTACATAACTTTCGCTATTACTCCGTATGTACAGATGTGGCCAAATTATTATAATAAATATTTGTTCACTGACTTAACGGATTATGAGTGCTGAGAAGCATCTGACAAAAGCAATTGCTTGAAGTGTAATGTTTGTTAATGCTACTGGAAATGTATATTTATTTACGTAAAAAAAGTTAAAACCTGTGTGCGACCAATGCTTAGAGGCTCTAAAGAACCAATGGTTCCCTCACACAAATGAGTTTTTTTTAGTTACTACGCTTCCCATCACAACAGGAAAGAAAGTTGGAAATCAGCTTCAAGGCATTGATCAGTCTGGGTCCAATTGGCTGCAAATAGCCTTGACATGAATTCCATCGAAAATGTTCGTTCGATAGTTAAAAGAAAGTTAAGGAAAGAAGGCCATAAAAACCAGCTCACATAGCAACTCATTCGCATCTCGCAAAATGACACTCAAATTGAAATAATGGATTAAAATTTGATTTTCAACATACCTCTGAACAAGTATGTTAATTACGAAACGTATTATAAAACATTAGAATCCTGTACACAAGTTATGTTAATATCTATTGCCGCAAGTACATTTTGTCTTATTCAAAAACTCTGGTCTAATAATTTGGCCACCTTTGTACACGGAAAAGTAAAAATACTGTAGTAGTATTGACCACGATGTACAAAGGAATCGATTAGTTAATGGTGTATTTGTAGAGATGGGTATTGACCAAAGACAAACCAAGGAGGATGCTGCACGGCCATTTGCTTAACCCTTAGGTAGTCGTTTAAGGATATTCAACAAGATTTTCTCAAACACAGCTCCCAATTTTTTCTTCAAACTTTTTGTAAGAATAGTGCTAAATGACACTATTTAAGATAACATAAATAATTTTGCTACACTCTTTTGTTTTTTTCAAAAATTATGCTAATGTATTTTTTTAATATCTCTCACGCCGTTAATATTTATATTCACAGCGATTTGTATACACTATTACATTTTTGAATGGAAACACTTCAAATAATTTTCAATAAAGGTTTTCGAAAAAGTTTTCTGTGAAGATTCGCTTCAAGTTTTGCATTTACGCTGACGCTTAAACGACATTTTCTTAAAAATGGCTCAATGTATATCAACGAAAATTTCCTCCGAGGAGGAGGTTTTACTCTTCTATAATATTTATAAATAAATATTTCGGTTCTAGTATTAAGAAATCGATTATTTTGAGAAAAAAATCAAAAAACTTTAGTTTGGGCGGTAATAGATGGTAGCTGGCAAGAGAATTGGGCAAGACCGAAATGCCAGCCAGACTCAAGTCCGAGGGAGAGGCATTCGGCCATCGATAGATGCGACGATGACCAACTAAATCAATAAAAAAAATACATTTTCAATATTTTTGATAATAATTTGATAATTGGCCAATATATTTAAACGATATTTGTTTATAAATAGTCATAAAACAACGAGAAGAACGTAAAGGAATCGTTAACATTAACGCATTGCATTGAGAGCTCGCCGTCGCTCTCTATGTCCCAAATACAAAGGCCAGAGGCAGGATTCAGAGGGGGACAACTTCTGCCCCAATGTTGGGACACATTAAAAAAATATACATTTCATTTCGCGGATCTTCAAATTAATATTATAAAAGATTTACTTTTTTCTGTATTATGAGAAAAAAATAATCCCTATACAGTATTTGAGTAACTAAGAGTGTGCGTGAGTGCATGTGTGCGGATCCGTCACTCACGGTTAGATCAATGATTAACACCATCCATGGTTATGCCACTTCCAGTGCACCAATCGAAACGTATGAGGTGTCATTCGACGCGTCTCGGTCTCCTGGTGGAGAATTGATAATTTCTTTTCTGATCCGGTCCGGAGATTCTAAGAAATTTCCAAAAATGTGTTTCTGCATGCATTAGCGACTATGCCGGGAATTAAATCAATGCCACCCAAATATATCTATGTAGATTACGTTGAATGCGAAAAGTGAACAGACGCGCGGCAGATTTCATTTAATTTGCATTCTTATTAACGTACTTTTAAAAATATGTTTGCAGAAATCTACGAACAGTATTGCCTTGGAAATTATTGAACTTGAAGAAGTTCAGGTAAATGGGGAGAAAATCAAACTGTTAGTGCTACAGTAGCACATTTACAATCTAATGTTCGACTTCTCACATTTACATTTTTAAGCGCGCAAATTCTGATTTTCAAATGAATGTAACTCATGGAAAAACATTCTTCATCAAACTTTGCTCTCAAAACACCAATTTCTGAGATGATTACAATAATAAATTATGAAATTTGTGAATCTTGAGACAAGAAGAACCATAACTTGCAAAATAATAGAATCCTTTTTTTTCCCCTTTTTCTTCCCTCCTAATAATGTATTAAATATTATTTCTGAATATTGTTTCCTGTGTCATGTAGAAAAATTCTAATAAGTATAAGCAGTCACATAAATGCCAGTAATTGGCAGAAAATGTTCTTGCATAACATTTTGCTGCAGTCAGAGAAACTTTAAAAAATAGTTAAATTTCAAGTAGCATTTTTTACTGGAATTTTTATTTTGTTTGTGACATTTGAAATGGGAAAAGTAATTTTTAGTTCATTTCGAAATAGTATATTGAAAACGAGTTCGACGAACGAGGAGATTGGTACCATTTTTTCCTTCACATTTGAGTACTATAATATACCTAAATGACATGCTCATTTATTTCGTGCTTTCGAAATTCCCGGGCTGATTGAAATCTGAATGGAGAGCACTGAAGCTGACAGGTCGCGCTTGCAGTGTGAACTTGGTGTGTGTGTGAGCCTGTGGTGTTAACCTAACGACATACGATCCGGCTGCTCTGAATCCTTTTATCAGTGGAATTCAAGGCGTGTGTGGGGCAGTGTAATTGTCCAGAGAAATGTTCTAGATTCATTCGTTTCCGTGACATATTTCTGGTATCTTTGAAGTCGACCAGGAAAGATGACGAACAAGGAGAAAGGTAAGTGTTTATGAAAATGATTGACGAAATGACCCCTCCACTCTTTGAGCGAAGAGAAATAAACTCTGTTCTTACATGTTTTGAAGTCGTAACTTTTCATGGTTGTGACACATTTCTTTAATTTTTCGTCGTTACTTTTTTAATACATGCTTACAGTGAGCAGATTCTTCTTCTTTGAGTTTTGAACCTTATAGGTGACATTTGTGTCATGTTTTTTATGTTTTCTGCTTGTGACTCTAACTTAGCTTCGGTACTCATAAAAAACGTACATCTACTGGTATTATAATCGCTCAATTTAAAGATTATATGTGATTTACATGTGAGAAACTGATTTCAGGCGAATCAGCCAAACTTCAACATCATCTGTCATTGCTGAAAGAAGAGTTTGTGAAACTTCAAACTCATTGCAATGATTTAGAGCGTAGATACGCAATTGCCTGTGCCTCAGGAGGAGATATTAATGCCAATAGTTTTGTTTCCAAACTTGTGTCCACTGTGTCGGGTCTTTTTGATCAAGAATTGTACAGGTTTGTTTATACCTGAATTAATGAAATATGTATGCATGAATCATAAATTTAGATGATGAAATGTTGAAACTGTGCTTTGTTTTTGTTTGTAATGAGGAAATGAAATTACAGTGATATAAAAGTGAAGCTGTCAAATCGTTCTGTGCCTGCCCATCGACTGGTACTTGCTTCACGCGGAGAAGAGTGGGGCTCTCTCAGTGACAGTAAAGAATTAGATTGGAGCAAATGGTCTCCAGATGTGGCACTTGCTGTTCTCAAATGGTTGTACACTGATCTAGCTGACTTGTCCCGTGGTGACACTTTCACTCTTGATTTAATGAGAATGGCCAATGACTTCAAATTAGATGGATTGGTTTCCAAGTAAGTGAAAGCACATACTGTCATCAACAATACTAAATCTTAAGAAGTTAATGAGCACTGTAATGACAGATTAAATGTGAAAATCATGTCATTACGTTGCATTAGATATACATGTATTTCAATTTTTTTCTTTGTTGAGTATTTGCTTATATTTGTTACGAGATATTTTGTTCATTGTTTAGTAAAAAAGTTTTGTAACAAACTGTATTTTGAACTAACTTTTGACAGATGAGTTGAAAGATAATAAGTTACAGCAATTTAAAATTTGATTGTAAATTGCTGTTTTTTCTCAGTAATATGGATCTTTCAAGAATGAGTTGTAGTAGATTCTTTTAGTAAATGATAGCGATGATATGTAGCAATAAAGAAAATAGATGTATGGTACCTAAAAATTCCAGCATAATTATTCAAATTATTTGTGATGCTGAAGCTAATGCATTGTGGCATTGATAATTATCTATTAATTTAATTTTTTTTACACTTTATTTTTGATCATCATGCACACTCATAATCACAAGTTACATGGGAATCAGTTATAGGTGCTTTAAAGAGTGTGTCGAAAAGAAAAAATATATCCAGAAAATACTTTTTCTGTGAACTCTCAGCAAATCTTTTGTTTATTGAGGAGAAAAAAAAAAGGATTATTTTGTGTTTTTTTTAAGAGTATTATATTTAGTCTATAGAGAGCATTGTTTTTGTCGTTTTTAATCTCTTTTAAAAACTTAGTATTGTCTTATACCGATTTTTAATATTTAGTTTGAATAAGAGGTGAGATTTACTCGCCTGAAATTGTGTTTTAAATTAACTCTGCCTGTTATGTTATTTTCTGGTAAGAAAAAAAACCTGTTATATTCTGGTAAGGCAGCTCTAGTACCTTGTCATTCAGATCTCTCGTAACATCTACCCTATCAATAGCTGCTTGTGTGTTAGCTTGATCTATTAATCTATTTGTAGAAAAGATTCTTACCAAAGTACATTTTAATATGAGAAATTAAATTTAGCACTGTTTTTATATAATATACTTGTCTTGTAGGTGTGAGAAGGCTCTAATGGCATCTGTAAATGTGAAGAACTGTGTGCGCTTTTATATAACTGCAGATGAGATAAATGCAGATGCTTTGAAAGAACACTGTTCAGGGCTGATTTCAGCCCACTGGGTAAGATAAAGTTTCTAAACATAATTTACTTTAACATTTAAGTTCTTGAAATAGGCATAAGGGATATTCTTGGAAAGGAAAATAAGAAAATGAGTGGGGTTGGATCCAGAGAGATCACCATATATAGATCTCATCTCATCACATCCAAAGCAGAGTTATCATTATGAATACACCCTTATTTACTTTTTAATGCAATTAATCATAAACTTTTTTAATTTAAAATAATAATGGTAATTATTAATAATTAATATTTAATAATTTATGATAAATATTTAATAATAAATAATTGATATTTAATTATAATATTAGTAGTTATTTTAAGTAAATTGAGTAAAATTTCGAAAAATATTGGTGGAACACAGGGAATCATAGCCACCATAGATGTAATAGTGCACTATTTGAAATTATAATGTGATTACCATCTTATTTTTGGAATCACCATGATTTCTTTTAATCTAATTGGTAGTTTGGAGTGTGCTATGTGGTACTTGTGGTTTTATTGCTGTGCTGTTGTCTGTTCATCTCCAGTAGTGTTACATTTCTTCAAAATTGAATGTTTTGTTGTGTCCTTAGCTGAGAGAAGGAAGGATAAAGTTAATATAAAATATGAAGAGGATTTAAAATCAGTGACATTTAGATTACTACATTTGTTTTAGTGTGGAAAAAAAATGATGGGATTAATGTAAGATTTAAAATATTGATTCCTGGGTCTGTACTAGACATGGTAATATGTTTTGGAATGGAATAAAAAAGCAAACATTTATAGATAGGTATACAGTTTTCCTATTGAATGTTTCTTCATTAAAGATGTAAGAGAATTACCCAATATTCAATTGCAAAAAAACTTTTACAGGTGAAGTGACTTTAACAATTTACACTCTTGAGGTAAAATGTATATGGTTGTATATAAATGTATGGTATGCTATAGCAAAAAATGAAATATATTTCTGACACCAGATAAGTAATTCCTACTATTGCCTGCTTTTGATGAAATGGTTCTAAAAATTATTTATTTATTTGTTCATTTTGAAATTCAGAGTACATCTAATGATATTTGTTCTTCTGTGATTATAAGTGTGAAAGATGGAGGGTGGTAGTAGTGTAAAATTTTTTCACAATTATCAGTACTTGATAATTTGTTGATCAGCTTGTTTTGAAGGAAGAGTTTTTTAAATTTTTACTTTGTTATATTTCTAAGTTGTTTTTTTCTAAAAAATTACTGAAGATACTTCATATTTACCTTTTGCTTTGAAATAGCGTAGTTTTTTGAAGAGTTTAATGTTTGTTCCCATCTTCTTTCACTCTTCTCTGGGCTTAAATATGTTCTTAAATTTGAACAATATCTTTAGAATGCAGTACTTTTTCTTTTCTCTCATCATGTGTTTTTGTCATGAGTTGCAGTTCTCTGGCTTCATATCAATGCATTCAAAAGCAGGATAGTAAACATTACATTTTGTTGTAATTATATGTAGTACTTGAAAGGTAATTAGTGTAAGAATATTTCTTTATCACTTTTTCTAATTGAATTCTAACTGAATTCTCGTGTGAGTATTTGAATGTCCTTGTTAGTGTTCTCAGATCTTTCTGTGGTTGTTTTTCTACAGGATGATTTCACCAGTGAAGATTTTGCCACAATGAGCGCACGACTTTTGTACAGCATGTTCAAGTCCAAAACTGGTTTCCCTTTGCATGCAGCCGTGCGCCTGAATAGAGAAGATGTTGTGTTCCTGTACTTGGTGGAAAACACCGCAGACGTGAGTACTTATTTTGTTGTTTCCATGTTGACTTCTACAACTTGTTATTTGCTGACTGTCTCATTTGTCTGAGCAATGCTATTTTCTTGCAGTTGTTTAATGAGTAATGCTGTTTGTTTATTCTATCCTTCAGAGCTGAACTGCAAAGCATTCAAATGGTGTCTTGACTACAGAGACTATTATTTTCTCAATTCTTTAAATTTATTTTTCTGATTGCATGCTTTTGAGTCAGCTGTGTTGCATTTTTGCAAATGTTAGTGTTGCTGATGTCATCATTTTTTTATATATTTAAAAAAAATGAAAATTGCAACCCTAATTTAGCAATTCTCATTGATGTGACGTAAATCAATACTCAATAAAATTGAAATATGTAGTATATTATATTTGTTGTTCTGAGAAGAAATGCATTGGGAAAAATCAATGTTCTTGCATTTCTTATGATGTTTTTCTAGTTAATGTCTCTGTTAATATGATTTTTAATATTCTTTCATATTTTAGTTACATGGTTTTGAACATTCTTTCATATTTTAATTACTACCCCCTGCGATCAATATCTTCACATTAAAAGTTCTTGTGAAAATCCAACCGTTCACAGTAATAATTATCCTAAGATTTTGTAAAATGTAATTACATTCTGCAGTGGCGACACTGAATATTACATTGTATACTGTTGTTTCTGTCACGTTTGACATGATTCCTAAAAAAATCAGTGAAGCTTATCTAATGTGGGTTTGAGGAAATTGTTTTAGAAAACTGACCAGGTTAAAAAAGTGTACATTTTCAGAACAGACACATAAAAAGCATGAACATATTTCAGGAACATTCATTTTGCAATTGCTTGAAAGGGAAGAAATGGAATAAAACAGAATCTAAATTATTTTGAATTCTGAAGCAGTGATTGCCTTTAATGCGTTGATTGTTTATTGAATAGAGTTTCTTTTGAAGAGTAATTTATGTTATAAAATTGTATTCTTTCTTCTGTTAAAATGACATGAAAATCCCTTGAACTGTTTGGTGAAGATTTCCAATTTACACATCAATTTGATTGAAATGAGGGGTTTGTTCAAAATATAGGGGGGTTGTTTGGAGCCACAAAAATAATTATATTTGTGTATTAATTTTTGGTAAACAGGCCAATGTCTTACTACTTGTGGAGATTATATTATCGTGCTGTTATACATCATGCTTCCCTTTGTGTGTTCCTCACCTTAATAATAATATTTTCAAACATTACACACTACATTACTACACTAATATTATTTGAATATATTATATGTTATGAATACATTCATATATTATATGAATGAACATTTTCTCTTTTCAAAACTGGTGAGTAGAATGTGGTATAAAACAGTAACAAATTAATGAAGTTTATTATGAAGAGATCTACAAGATGTGTGTGACAGTTGTGATTGTTGGTATAGAAATAATAACCATGAAGTTGTTTAATATCTGGATTTATAGTTTGTTTAGAAAATTGAAATACTGTGAAGTCTGTAGAAACTTGGCTGTCCGGAAGATACCATACTCTAGGCGTAGTTTCTAATAATTCAGCTGTCATTCTGTGATCTTCTTAAAGGCAAAATGCTGAGACAGAAGACTGAGGATGCTGATGCTGAGGAAGGTCGCAGTATGAAGACCGAGACATTGACTACTATGCTTAGGATACAGCTTCTCCCAAGCAGCCAAGTTTCTATTAACTCTGGTTGTGAGAGCTTATGCTTTCTGTGAAATCTATGTTTTTAATCTTAAGTCAATGTCTTACCTGTGGTTATTGCGACACAGCAAACACATGCTGAAATACTGAAACAAGGATAGAGGTTGTCTGATTTTTATCACATGACTGGGTAATACGTGGAATATCTTACTGAAACTTTACTTACATCACCAATAAATATAAACATTAAACATAACAATGACTTAAATATATCTCAAGAAAATATATGCAGCAGTTTGTTTCATGGTCCACGTGAGAAACAGGCATGGGTGATGGAGGTTGGTGACTAGCAACCAATGTACTGTCTCTCATGCCTTTGACCAGACCGGCACAGCTCAGAAAGTAAAGGAGAGGCTTATGATAAGGCTGCTGAAGTCTTATGAAAGAAGTGCAAGTTTTTTGACATCGGTTTCTTTTAACCTACATACTTGAATAAATATAATATATTATGTAATTGAGCTTATAATTAAATATATAATTGGACTTGCATGATTATGTGATTAAGCATGTTGCATATATTTTAACAACCAACTACAACAATTTTTTATGTGGAATTAAATTAGAGCCATGACAAAAGAAGTTGTAATAGTAAAAAAATGTTTTTGCATAGTATTTTCAATTTTCTCAGAAAAACTGCCAAAGACTACAGCAAAAATGATAAAAAAGATTCATTCCAGTTTTTCAATATAACTGATTCTTATTCAATTTAATGGAAATTCTTTCTAGTTGTTAAGATTCCATTGGGAGATTATGTGCTGTGCAGGCCTAGCCAAGACACTCATCACAGAAGGAACACCTGTAAAACGTATCATATAGGAAGAGTTCACTTAAAATATAACTTGTTTTTCTACATAATTATAGTTATTACATCACTTGTTGCTAGCACACTTTTTTCAATGTCATTTCCGAGTTTTTTCATATCCACTGTGACTTCATCCAATGTCTCATATACACTTGTCTTTTGCAAGGCAAGAGTTTCAAATAGTTTATGCTTTTTGTTTTTAACATGTACATTTACTTGAAAGTATAACACTTATTACATAGTATCTCATTCAACCAAAGTATGCAACACCTTTCAATTGGGCAAAAGCAGCAAAGCACTTGAGAGGAGAGAAAACCGTGAAAATAGGCATTTGAGATTACTAGTTCACTGTCTCAAGCAGAACATTTTTTTACCTTGAACAATGCGATGTGCTGCGCACATTAAAATGTCCTAGGAAAGATGCACAGCCATGTTACCGAGAGGACAATTTTTTAGGCACATTATGTGAGTATGAATCATTCTTGAAAATGTGCTTTTGGGTTTTGTCTTCATGACCACGTATTACAATTCTGTTCTGAACACAACTTGGTACAAATATTGTGCAAGCATGGTAAATAGAGATGATTTGGAGAAGTTGTTATTTTTATGTCAGAGGACTTCATTGATATGATATTTATATGAAATATGCATAATATAGAACATAAAAGGAACTATTCAAGAAATATTTTGTAATTTCACTGGCAATTTTCCATGATTTACAAGGAAACTCGAGAAAAGTTTGCTTAGAGTTGGTAATATTTTCCAATCCCCTGCGAACTGATTTATTGCCCACAAATACTTGGGAATTAAAAACAAACAAAAACATAAAAAATGTATAATCTCGTGGGTGAAATAATTCCCAGAAAATTTGAAACACTTGTACGGACTGTACCGCGTGTTTAAAATAACCAGATTTTTTATATTTTCCATCACGGCATTGCCTTTTTATATTGTTTCAAGTTAACGTTTGCGTTGCATGGCAAACATTTCACGAATGTGCAAAAATTAAATTTGGGAGACAAGGTTGATGTACTTTTCGTTTTCTCAGATCTCGCAGCCAACACTCAGAAGTCACCGCTTTTTGGTGGCTTGTATAGAGTTTCCATTGCCTGTAGCCCTAACGGGGTATCTGAATCACCTATCATCTAGTCCTAGTATTGTTTCGTGCATCGAGTTCTAAGAGCGCTGAAGCACTGAAGGATATAGTAATGCGACAAACACTAATTCCAAAATTGGAAACCACGACGAATTCACGAATCTTCCTCTTGTGGCATTTTCTTGGCACGGTTTCGTTAAAGGTGCCACGCGAAGTCCGGTAATCACATAGGAATGTCTGTTGTTTTACGCCACTCATGTTGCAATAGGATTTGGAAGTTGTTACGGATGAAACGGTGACTACGAAAGCTAGTGATTGACGCTTCATAGTTTAGTCGTGTCGTTCCAACACCAATCGCAGACGCTTTGCCGCTACTTGTTTTTCCTCGTTTACAGCTTATGTATATTTGCAATCGCGTGACTGCACGTTCTGGATAACCCACGGAAAGGCCTGCGATATAATATACGTATGCCATCAGCACGCTTCTTGGAAAAACAATTTCATAGTGCATGCATAGCCTATGATGTTCTCGCGTTGCAACACTTCAAGTTCGTGTTAGCTTCATGTGACGCATCAAGAGGCGTTTTCGTTTGACTGAGGAACCCTCTTCATCTGTTTGTCCGTCCAATTTGAAATTCTGAATAGTGAAATTGGAAAAAAACGTTCTTTAGGCGCAGGGCTGTCGAGGATTTGTGACTGCCCTTCATCGTGAGTGGGTGTCATTCTGTTACTTCCAACACATAATATATTTGTAATATTGTCGCATCGCTAACGATCATATCTAAAACGGTTATACCTACGATATTTGCACTATCAGTATTGTAAGAAAAATTATTGGCATCAATTAATGCAAACATCTGCATTTAAAAATGCATTTCCCCTTTCCCTGTGACCTGTCAATCGACTTCTCTATTGTACAGTCGTAGAGAAAGATGCATTCTTGAGTAAACTATGAGTCTTGTATTTTTTTGTAAATCACGAATAGTGCCTAAATGTATGTCTTACCAAACAAAAGTGGAAGTACCATTTATTGAGATTCGATATTATCGATACTTGTGGTTGATATCACTACAATATACTAAATTAAACCAAGGATTGCAACGTTCATTCGCAGGAGGGCTATCTGTCACAAATCGACATTATTTTATCGTATGTGCTTTTTAACGCAGAGCAATTACAACTAATGGACTTTGTCGAGTTCTGTCAACTTTGGTATCTTCCAAGTGAAGACAGCAATCTGTCGAGCAACGATTCTTTATGGTCCATCTACTGTCATTATATCAGCGTGCGTCCTTGCGAAATTGTAAAAATTAAAAATATTAAGTTGTGTTGTAAGCGTCTTTTACATTTCTTTGTCAACCACCAACCCTCAGATTGTGTTGTTTGAGCGTTGCAATTGGTGTATTGAACGAGCGTCAATCTCTCTCTTTCGCCCTGATCCATCCAACTCCTCATGTTCGTAAAACGCATTTAACGGATTCAGCGAGAATCCGTCAGGAGCCGAAATGGCGGAGGCAAAATATTTTCGCTTCCAGAATTCAGTCGTCAAGTTGATCCCTCAGCTTCGACTTCTACAGGTTCATGAGGACTGTAATATTTTTTTCACAATTTATCATCTACGACAATTTTGTTAAATTAACCACATCCAATGAATTACCGACTTCCAAAATTGGCTATAATGGTCCTCATATAAATATAATTTCTCGTCTTAACTACAGCAGTTTACAGCGATCAAACTAAAACAAAATTTATTTTGTATTTGCAAACAAATTTTCGGGTTGAAGTGCAGGCGCAGATCCAGAATCGAAGGGAAGGAAACTCACATGTAAAATTTTGAATACATTTTGGTTCAGAACTTTCGATTTTTCATATCGAAACATGTCTAAGTATGAAGGAGGAGAGGGGACATGTGCCCTCCAGAACCCTGGATCTGCCTCTGCCTAGAGGTGGCCATACACCTGCAAGGCGGACTCGCGAGCCTGTCTGGCGCCGTTCACTAACAGAAACAGAATGCTCCACTGCCTGCTCCAAGGTATCTTCAGTGGAGCACGTGGGTGCGGCGACTGATTTTGTAAACGTCGCGAGCCGCGCTCTGTCGTGTATGGGCTGCTTAAGACGGGGCGTATTAATGAAGCCGACCGAGCAGAAGGACCAACTTGCTTATTCCGTGCGCTGAGTGTCCTGGATAGTACGAAAACGCCATTTCTGACGCCCACTCAGTGCCTGTGCCGGTCTCAGCGATACGGTCGTCTCCCGTCGGCGTCTTGCGCCGGATAAGGGGGCGTGGTCGCGTACTACCGCAGGCTGCGGATGTACTTCATGGCGTTGAAGACGAAGATGACGGCCATGGCGTCGGTGTGGTGGGAGGTGGGCAGCGGGGCCGGCGCGGCACGCGCGCCGCCCCTTCCCGCTCCGCCCACGCCGCCCCCGCCTCCGCCGCCGCCGCCCGAGCGCGTCGCGCCGTTGCACAGGTGGCTCTGGCAGTAGCAGTAGGTGGCCGAGGCGCTCTTGACGCTGCGCGCGGCCTCCCCGCGCTCGGGCGCGCACCCCGGCGCGTACGCCGCCTCGGCCACGGCGTCCTCCGTGTGCCAGCGGCCGCGCGCCTCGTCGTAGCGCTGGAAGCGGTAGCGCTGCGGCGCGCAGTCGCGCTCCACGCCGGCCACCGTCTCTGTAACACGCGCGGTCACGATGAAATCGATTTGCACTAAATTTCCAGTGCGCGCGGAAATTGAAAGGAAAGTATGCAGCCTCGGGCCATCTGAGAGCTGTTTATGATTTCCTTTGGTACCCAAGAACTCGGAAAAATGAAAGAAAAAAGAAGAACAAAACACACAAACAAGAAACAATTTCGATTTTGACTGAAAAAAGCAAATACTTGATTATGTTATTTCATCTTTTCTCATACTGCGCGAACAGATTGGATTTTCATGTTCAGTGCGCGACTGCTTACGTCACGGATGACGTCTGACTTCAGACGTAAGACCGTGCGCTGTTAAATTCATCCCTATGTGTGCTGCGTTATGGAACAGCATTTTTTTTTATATTTTTGGTATGTAAAATACTGTTGTACTATATGCCAAGTAATTGCAGTTTTCGTGAAAACAATTTTCGTTAAAATGTTTCATTTATAACAGAGTTATAACCTACTTTTTGGACAACTGTATAGTTTGTTTCAGCGGTAATTTTGTTGCTGCAGGCCTCTAATTTTTACGTAAACACGAAAGCTTGGTGCTATGACATTAGAAATGATCACATCGGTGAACGGAAACATGTATATTAACATAAGGAAATGAGTTCGCAAAGTTTCACGTTTACGTTATCTGTGAACAACACACTATCGTGTATCAAAGCAAGATCCAAAAAAATGTTTACGGTCATTGGGAATGGTATACCCAAGCTTGTGTTGAAAGTAAACGCGCATGTTCTGAGGTCTACGTTATTGTTTTCATTGTGAATGGCCCTTTACGGGCGTACAAACATATTCGCCTGCAATTCAACGCGGGGGACCGTGTAACCGTGTTATACCATGCCGGCTACAGCGCAGTGGCCGACCACCCACTGCCGCTCACGCTGGGTTACACACGGGCGACCGAACATATTCTGCTGTGAATCAACATCGTGAATAATGGAATGAAACGTAGAGGAGGGGATGTAGCCGTTGAATTTGGTGGCAAGTCATATATACTGTTTTTCCCATGAAGGTAATTTCGTAAACACTTGAACATGTAGTAGATCAACATTTTTATTTATTTCAGATATTACTTTCCGGGTTACTCATATAATTGTAATTTACGTGCGTACTTATTTTGCCTTTCTTCTCTCTAAAGACATTGCATTTTTTGTAAGATTTGTTTAGAAGTGTAGGTTGTCTACGGCCCTGGATCTATAATATAACGAAATGCTCACGCGTCTTCTCTTTAATGCACCAAGTTCATCAATACTATCCTCGTTCGTTTTTAAAGTAGGGATTAGGGGTTTCAGGCCGTTTGTACGAGGTAAGCCTACGGCTGTTTCACATGGCCATGATACAAAAATATTCAGGTTTTCGATTAAGTTTGCTACTTGTGTTTCCTTCAGGAGAAAATGCAAGAAAATAAGATCCAATTTTGAATGGCTCTCAGGCATTCTATGAATCGAATGTCAAGACAATTTTATTTTAACCTTGTATTACAAGTCACTCTGGTTGCGTCGAGCAAGTAGTGGAATCTAGCGGGGGCGGGCGGGCGACGCCAAGTGAAACTTGATGCTTTGAGGATTAAAAAACAGGAATGTACATCTAGCTGGAGATACATTTCTTTTGTTTTTAGGATCGAGAGAGGCGTTGGCACGGTCATTAGGTCTGGTGAACTCTGGAGAGGAACTGAACAAGTCAGTAAACAATGGTATATGATTCAGTGGTACTCGTGGGGATGCGAGGTGATTCTGAACGTGTGTGGCAATTGGTGCTGATAGGAACTTGCTCAATTGTTGTTTTTAGACTGTATTTGACTATCCTATTACAGCACCTTCAAGCGCTTTCCCACAGGAATGCACCCAGGAAAGGTGCATGGACCAATGGCGAAAAAAATACTTTCCAGATATAATTATAGTTTTTGGAGTTGACGCTGATGTTTATTAAAATTTAATGAATAGTTTTGAATTATTGAGACATTAAAATGATACCCAAGCAGATCAGTATGAGTTGGCATTAACGATTTAGTCAATTCCATAAGCCAAGGGGGTGTTGTTGCATCCCCTTGCACTCCCGTCCCAACGTCCTTTAAGGGATCCACACACGTTTAGAATACGTTGCCCGCCGTGTAACACTAACGTCAGCCTGCATATGAAATTGACGCGAGTGAAAACCACGTGAAATCACGCTTTTGATTTTCCTCATGATGCGGTTCGTAGTTGGCTTTAGCCGAACGTCCGTTCGCATAAACCTGTAGAGTACGGTGTAGTTAAGCTGTGGTGATGGAATACTCTTCCATTATGTACGAGAAGTGGTAAGCCCTGACAGATAACGCTTGGCGTTTGTGCGACCTTGCGAAGTTTCTCCAGAAAAAGACATCCAAACCTCCATGTGGGTACTAATCGAAGGATTGATGAGTAAAACGAACATTTTAGCTTACGCAACACAGTGGAAATGATTCCTAAGAATACTTTTGGGAATGTTTTCTGGTCCAATTTTCTTCGTATAAATTCTTTGATTTAATCATTTCAGAATATGGATACCATAACTGAGGCTCCTATTATAAATTGAATGTATACCTGGCAAAGAGAAATTATTTTCAGCAGGGAACATTAATTTTCTGAACAATCCTCGGCTTCTTGCTTGTCAGTTTGCACCCTGAGACCTTGGGAATATGCAAACTCGGACGGATCAAAATGTCACATATGCCGAACGTGAATGGGTTCACTACATACATTTGTTAGCCTTAACGTGAAGAATCTGTTCGTTTTGCGCGCAGTATTAGATGTGAGCGCTGTGGATACGATCACACGTGTCATGTCGAGGCGTGGTAAGGGTGATGCGGGAGCGGTGGGGGTTGGGAGAGGACGTGGCCGCTACTCAGGCGTTGCGCGTGATAGCGTGCGATAAGCGCCGCTGCCCACTTCCGCCCAGATGCCTCAGGCCGTGCATGCCGCAGCCGCAGCAATTGCACGGGCCCTTCCAGGCCGTCCCGTGAGGCGGCGAACGCGGACGTGGTCAGGGGACTGTCTCTAGGGGATTTTTCAAAACAAATATAATAGATCCCAAGTCGATTATTGACGGTGTAGCACTCTTTTAACAGTTTAAACTCTCTATGGGAGTTGGTGTGTGTCAGATGAAGAAGATCCTTCAAATGCAACGCATTTTCCCGATTTTTACGTTGACATTTCAGATCGTAAATGTACAGATATATAAGCAAGGCTAAATATTCAGTAACATTCAAAAGGAGAAGAAGAATTTTATTTCGTGTCAGCCAGATATATTAAAAACGATTATTTCAATACCAGTTACAAATGTCTAGCCTTTGTTTCATAATCAGATAACATTAATGGGCGTTGTTGCAGAACCAGATAATTCGCAAAGAAAGTATCTTGAAATTGACCTAAGCTTGTGTCGATCTCTTATTAATTAATTTGTCAAAAATACCATACTCCTTTATCAATGCGTATTGTTTTTTTCCAAAGTTGTTGGATTTGTATACCCCTCTCTAATGTGCAGTTATCATATATTGTGTATGAATTGCTTTAGATTCCTTTGGTATCGCATAATTGTGGAAACTTTGTTTTAGGAATTTGACATTGGTAGAATACATCAGGCTTGATATTGCATTGGGTACTTAGGAGAATTGTGCGAAGTGTGGCTACTGTGAAATCCGTTTTCGAGATGTTTTTTACAATCATGACGATGTACGTAAATTGTGGCGAACATTTAGTTGTTGTAAATTAGTAATGTTCAAAAGAAGGCTTGCTCGAATTCGATCTCGGTCGTTGGAAAGAATGCGAATAATTTGGAGCAGGACCTCATTTCGGCTCGCGCGTTGCTTCGTCCTCGAAGTAAGAGCCATGTGTAGCCTCAGCGTTGCGTCTCCACGCTGGCATGCGACGCCGGCCTCCCCATCACCCCACCCCCTCGATGTATTTCACCTCCCCCCATTGGTCGCCGGCGTTGCATTGCTAAGCCTCGCATTCCCGACCCCTACCCTGGGAGACCGCCAGACGCACACGCATCGTTTCAGGGACTCAGCATCCACACTGGGAAACATTTATTTATAGATGTACCAAGAAATACAAACGTACACGTGGGAACTTAATACATTATCATTTTCATCAACTTTGATTTGCTGTAAAAGAAACCTTGAAAGTCGAGTTTGTCTCGCGAGGCGTAGGGGAAGTATGTCTTTCAGACTCGGTTCATTTGCCCGTCAAAGAGCTGCGATTTGGTGAACAGGAGCGAGAGCGATTCAATCAATGTTCAACTAAAGCCACGCTATAGGCACCCTCTGCGCATGACACAATCGTGCTCGAAGAGCATCAACTGTTACTAATACTGAACGCGTGGTGACACCACGTTGAACAATAAGGGCAGTAGAAGCTCAGTGCCTGGCGGCTGCTGATGGAAATGGAGGCACGTCAATCTACATTTTAGCGCGTGAGCAGAGGAAGTTTTCGCTACGCTGTTCAACTACATGAGGTTTGCTTCTTCTCTGTGCAATCTCCACTCCGTTGCTTCGCCGCCTTCGCCGCTGCCAGATTTTGTCCTCCCGGTATCCAGACGGAACTGTGTGAAAGTTGAACGAGCGCTCTTGGTGCGCAGAAAAGGGAGAGGCGGAGGGTGCGAGAATCAATAATGGGAAGGACACATCGATAATCTTGATGTTTATTTTCATATGGTAGATATCTCCTCAGCTTTCAAAGTTAAAATTCTGTTTGGATCACAACGTATTCAGTATGACTTGCCCCCTTCGAGTACGTTCATAGGCGCAGGGCAAAGTGTGTAGTAGATAACCTAGCGTGATGATTGAGTCAGAAGTAGAATCATAGGCTTTAGGTTAGCAGCCACTCGCATAAGACGCGAGTCACATATAGTTCCGATTTGAGTTGACCTGACGTCCAAAACTAATAATTTTAAAATGTGCAAATAATAATGCTGTCTTAGCAGTTCTTTTTTTCGAACTTCACTGATGTATAGATTTATAAAATGTACTTTAAAATATATATCATAAAATTCTATAGCCTCTCGAGGCGAGACGGGACGATGACAGAGAGGTCCAATGCCGTGCCCACTTGTAAGTGAGGGGCGGTGGGCAGGCGGAGAGACGAGGAGAGCGAGGGCGGCGTAACGGAAGCGTCGAACGCAACGGTTTGAGTAGAAGTGGAAGGTAACGGCATCGGCAGCAGCAGCCTAGCGGAAGAATCGGGGATCGGGCGCGGCCGCCGCGAGACGCGCATCAGGACGGGGCGGGCGAGCTGGAGACGCAGTCAGGTCAGAACAGGGCAGGACGGACGTTGGAGAGTCCGAGAAAGGACAGGAAATGCAGGATTCCATACATGCGGTCAAATTATTAGACTATATTAGAGTTATCGGGTGAGACAAGAATGTATTTACTGCCAAAGATCTTAATGTATGTAAATGAATTTCTGCCAAAAGGTAGTGGTTTGTTTCTAATGGTTTATGAGCATGCCCTTTTTCATATTTAACATTTTTGTTGTGAGGCGTGTTAAAATCAATTTTTCAATCATTCTTTTAATTTCAAAATCATTTTACGAGATGCATGTGATTTATTTTGACGTAGTTTTTATGGCCTTATTTTCTTCGGTTCTTTTAACTGTGATTAGAACATTATCAGTGGGATTCATTACAGGGCTATTCGCAGTCCATTGTATCACAGACTAATCATATTGTGGCCTGGAGCGTAGTAATGCATGAGAAGGCGGGAATTTTTCAAAACCAGTCCTTTATTTGAGGGAGCCATTGGTCCTCTAGGTATTGTTCGTGCTTCATTATATCATTAACTACGTGTATATTTCAATTACCATACTGTGTATATTTTCAGTAACAATTTCCAGTTGCAAACTTTACTTTTCAAAACATTACTTTTGTCAAGTGCTTCCCAGATCACGTTATAAAAACTAAATAGGACACATAATAGGCATGCAGACGAGGGTATGCCGCGAAACTGCTAGATAAATAGATGCGATTGTAGATTAGGAAGCTCTTAGAAAGGGCGAATAAATCCAAATACTATATTCATTAAAAGTAAAATGTATATCGAAAATGTTTTATGTCCGGGTAAAGCCGAATTCTACGGACATACTTTGGAAAGCGGAAGTGGAATTGGAATGGTCCTACAAATACATGTACAAGAATGCACCCTAGGAGTAAGATTATTTTCACTATTTACCGCTCTAAATTTCAAAGCACATGGCCACTGTTGTTGAAATGTGCGAGCGCAGGGAGAGAAGCTGGACCTGGGAAGCAAGGGGCCGGAGGAGACGGGTCAGCAGCGCGGGAGGGGGGCGGGGAAGCGTTGGCGATCGGTTGTGGAGGCTCAGCCGCTGCCGTCGAACTCCTGAGCCGCTTAGCGCCCGGCGGCAGCGGCGGTTGCTGCTTCTTAACGCAGGTGGTTTCCTCCGAGCGACGCCGGATTACGGCGGCAAGCGCTTGGGGCCCGGCGCCGCGGGAGGCTTTGAAGACGCGTGCTGCGCGAGCTTCTAAGCCGCTCAATGTTTTACGTATCGTGTAAAATTTATTGTGAACAGCCACCACCAATCGAATATTCCGGGAAACTGCAAGCTTTATTTCTGTTTTTTTACGTGTTATGGGGTAAATCTTCGAACTATACTTATTTCTTCCAAATGGTTAGAGTTCTGTTGTTTAAAAGGTTTGCGATACAGTTCGGTTGACTCGTATTATTTGCTTCAGTATACCAGCAATAAGAACGCACATCATAGAACGTAACATTCAATTTACTTAAAGAATTCGATTAAGATATTTGTGTTTAATCCCTCCTTTCTCGGGGGAGGGGCTGCGGCTAGGGTAGATGTTGGGAGGTGATGTACCAGACTGGACACGCATGATGCGGCGTAATAATTATTACGTTTCACACGTGAAATGAGTTGTTTACTTTTTTTGCTCAATCGAATTGAGTTGTTTTTATGCCAAAACTGATAGGAACAGGCAAAAACATAGAGATTGTGCTACACCTTTTCAACTTCAATATGAGACCAAATACATTCATGATTAGAACAAGCACTTACAATATGGTACAAACACTTTCAGATTGGGAACAAGCTCGTTCAAATCGAGAAAAAAACATATTCAAATGGAAACAAAGCACTTGAAAAATTGAGAAAAAAAATTAACTCAAATTTTTATATCCACGGTACTAAAATGGAAAAAAAAGTAAATAAAATAAAAACAAGTCAGGAATGTATTTCATCTTCGTTTGCCACATTCGTGCGATTTCTTTTTTCGTTTCTCAAGAACGTGTCTTCAGAAAAGACCAACTCTACGCACGCCTAGCGGTACATAAAATGCCTCATTTTTATACGACCGCAGGGAAAAAAGAAAAAAAAAATCAGGAGAGCAGAATGTGGTTTAATGTTGGGTGAAGCGTGGGGGATACTCACTGCCCTTGCCGAGCGGCAGCTCGAAGGTGCGCTTGAGGCAGAAGGTGGAGTAGGGGCAGTCCACCTGGAAGCGCGCCGAGCCGTCGAAGTGCGAGCACAGGCGCGCCGTCTCGTTGCTGGAGTGCGGTGGCGGCAGCACCGTGCACTTGTAGCACGACAGCGCCCCGCTCGCCGCGCCTGCAACACAACACCAACCCGTGACCCGTTAGTTCTCTCTGTGTGGGTTGCTTCTTTAAAAATAAAATATTTGACTGAAACTTGTTTTGGAATGTAAAGACTGACATTTAGAATATTGAGCAACCATGACTTTCATTAGCAACTCGTCCTAACCTTCATAATTAAATTCTTCCTTAAATGGATGACAAAACGCGAACGAATACTATGGTCAAATGCTGGGAAAGGGAGCTCAGAAATACATACGCCTTCTCCTTGCATTATTTAAAAAAATGATTGACACTCATTATCATTATTATCATCAAGTAGCGGTAAGTTAATCGCAGAGGTTCCTGTGACTTTTGTCCTCGGAGGATGTTTTGCGGAAGTAAGTTGTTGAGTGGTGCCTGTGCGTGCCATCGCCATGTGTACCGTGTGGTTGTCTGCGAGTTGGCCAGGGGCGGGGAGGGGGTTGGAGGCGGGCCGCGTCCCTGGCAGTGCAGCCCGCTCCGCGGCCGCCGTGCGCGGAAGCGGTGGTCGGGGAGGGAGGGGGCCGTCGTAAACGAAAATGGCTTACATAACGACGTCGCGCCGGCGCCAAGGTGACGCACGGCCCGATCGCGCCTTTCGGGGACCGGCGTTGGCGATCCGAAAACGAGTCGCTCCTACGCGCGTGGAAACGCCGGATTCGTAGATGCGGCAACCTCGAGGGATTCGATGGCGGCCATGCTAATGCTAGGTGCGACGAACGAAGAGAGGAAATGCTGAGGCCCCCCCCCCCCCATTTAGAGCATTTGACTTCCCTAACTAGAGTAATATTAATTTGCTCCTGCGTGGAACACAACCATTTCTGTCTCGCTTATGATTCCACACTTCAAAATATTCGAATGAAGTAAACTGGAAAAGAAAACTTCTCAAGAGAATTCTTAGGAATCAGACTGCTGTGGAAGCATGATCTGCTCGCTCGTCGATTCATCAGGCGTGTCTTTGAACATCCTCTGGAAATTGGAAGAGAAAATTGCCAATTCCTATCCCGTTGGATCAGTCTATGATGTAGCGCGTACCTCAATAACTTTCCCACGACTAGAGGCGGTTTCAGAAATATTTCGCTTCCGTTCGGAAATCAGTGAGAAACTGCTTCGTTCGAATTAATGAAGGAATGTGACCAAGATTTCGGGCATGCGCAGTGAATAGTTGTTTCGATTTCTCCGTGTGAGCCATGTCATAAGTGGAGAACGGAAAAAACGTAGGAATTTTCTCACGTTTTTTTTTGTTTTCAATTATTATGTCACATTAATTCATTAAGTAGACTAAAATTGCATTTTTACAATTAATTGGGGAATTTGCGCTTGTGATGTTGGCGTTTTTTAAACTTCTAATACGTATTAAGATTATCTAATGAGTTTTAATGTCTTTTCTCTGCATTTGTGAAGTATTGCAACGTGATGTTTTTAAGAATAATCTAGTTACTCCGGTTTGTGCGTGGTTATTTTGTGCTTAAATTGTTGCTTGTATATTCCGTGATTAGATATTAGAGCAGGTTTTTTCGTGGAAAATGGTTTATCTGCAAATATTAGTCAGTTTAGCACTTGTTAAGAAGCAATGAAAACCAACTGTGGAGGATGTATCTACGAACCCTGATCTTGTGAACTCTATGTGAAATGCTGTTGGTCGTACGAAGGATACACCAAGGATGCGACAGAAACCAGAAACAGCTGTTTTTATTTAACTGTTTACTTTTTTTATTCTAGTCTCATTAACTCTGTTTCCGGCGATTGCTAGTCCCACAGTTAGAAAATGTAATTATGTGGCGTTTTCTTTGCGAGTCTCAATACCAACTTTTATAATTGCACTACAATGAAAAAATCTCAAAGGCGTCACGTCAATACATCAAGCAACGTTTCCCGATATTAATATTTGAATGTGATGAGTCCCGACTAAATAGTCTTCCGAGGGTCCAGGACTGGGAAATGCGAAGTTAAATGAATCCCTGCGTAACCGTAGTGTTTCATGCGAAGAATGCATGTTCGCAGGGCATATTTTTTTAAAATTTCACATCTGAACAGTTATCAAGTTTTCTTGAAGAACATTATTAACGGTTTGAATTTACACAACGCAGGGCACAATGACCGTCCAATTTACAAACGTAAAAATCGCGCATGGGAGTTCGCGCAAGGTTTTTATCTGTTTTTCTTGAAAATTCCTTGCCCTTCGAATTCCCAGTCGTAAATTCGGTATCAAGGACCATTATGCCGAGCTTCCCATCTTGCATGTCCTTTTATTAAACAAAAGAGGTTCCTTTCTCTCCTACCTTTCTTAATCTTTTTGTAAAATATTGTTCCGACAGGAGAGGTAAGCCGGAAGAGTAGACCTTCCCGTCCTTTTGGTGAAGCCCTTACGAATCCCAATGTGGTCAACGAATGGTGATAGTCTTTGAATAAGCATCTTTGTTTCGTGAATACTCGCATGTCATGTCAAAGCCCGGGTTGGGCCGTCGTAAATAAAGGCCGCAGCTGAAGGTCCAGATCTGACGATGGGGACTGGGCGTGGAAACGGGGAAGGGGAGGGGGAGGGTGGGGAGTGGAAGAATCCTTCCGAGGACAATGCCCTCACGCGGCGCCCGCGCTGAGCCTCCGCGGCGCCGCGGCGGCACGTCGCCCTCCTCTCCGGCCACGCGGCCTCGTCCGCTCACACCCGCGTTCTGCATCCGTCCCCGCCCCAGCCCCTGCACCCGTCCCCGCTCCAGACGACCATGCACCCTTCCCCACTCCAATCCCTGCTCCAGCACCCTTTCCCCGCCCTAATCCCTGCGCCACTTCTGTTTCCACTCCCGTCCCCGCTCCCTTTCAGCCTGCGAGAGCGATCGTCGTAAGAGATGACCATTGTTTTCAAATTCACCAAAGAACGGTTTGCTGTATAGATTTATGCTATTTCAAAAAGTTTCACCTTAAAATTGTTCATTGAGAAGTGCAGTTTCTTCTGTCGAGTAACAGAGGGGCAATTGATTTTTCTTTTTTTGGAAAATCTCTTTTTTTGGAAAATTGATTCATTACAATTGTCAGTTACATACAGCTTAATTTTAATAATCTCCACCTTTTCTCCCCAATTGTGCGCATTTTTGAACTTCATTTTTTAGCTTCTGTGCGGGACTTTCGGTCCGTCCCGGCGCTGAAACGGGAAGAAAAAGACGCGGCGGAGTGTGGTGGCTGGGTTGCGTGGGAGTGAGGGAGCGGGGGCGGTCCGAAAAGCGCCTTTTTGCGTAGGGGAGGTAGAGGTCGTGGCGTCCGACTGGAGGATCTGCCGCGAGCTCTATATTCGGGAGCCACCCTCCCCCTTTTCCTCCTCTCTCCCGCCAGGGAATTGCGATTGCGATCTCGTGCTCCGGGAAGCGGATGAGGATTTTCGGGAATGTTTTAATGCTGCGAGCGGCTTCTCCGAAAAGGAGGCGAGGCGAGTCGGGGCGGGGCTGGGTGGGCGAAAAGTCCATTTTCCGGACTTGCTCTCTATTGACTGCATACGAAATCGGGCAAGTGGGATGTAGCCGATTCTTGGGATTGGGAGGGCAAAGTTTATCAGCAAGACTGTTTCCGCAGAATATGTACGCTGTTTCACGGAAGACATTGGTCGTGGACATTTATTAATTTATTGTTACTAGATTTCTCTAAACCGCGTTAAAGCTGAGATATGTAGAATAAATGTAGAGAAAGTAGTTGAAAGATAAGACAAGGGAAACAACATAACTGCTAGTAAATTGTAGTGTTGCGAACCCGCTTTATTGTTCTAAATTCAATATGTAGTGAGCTGGATTTGATTCCCTCTACTCAAAAATGGCTTGTCAATAAAGGACTGCCACTTTTGGGAATATCGTCCGTACCTTAGGGAAGATTTGGCTCTCTCGAAACGTCGGTATCTACAAGATCGTGTTTCCTTTGTTTCAAACGCACCTCTTCGTTGTAAGGAAATGTTAGTGCATGGGTGTGAAAATGGCTATGATTTCTAAGCCAATATTTTCGCACGTGAAAAACAGACGGTAGCAGATAAGATCTTCATACTAAATGGATGAATACTTTAAACTTGAATTCAACGCCATATCGATAAAACTAAATTACTTGCGTTGAACAATATTGCGTTGTAATCGTATTCAAATATTGCGCGCGGTTTTTCTTCCAGTTCTGCCATTTCAAATAGCTTTTCTGTTATACTGACTCAGAGGAAAAAAAACTCTTTCCGCGAGATGAAATGAGTGAAATTCAAGATGTTTATGGGAAGTAAATGCGTATTATGACAAAATAATTAGTGTATTTTCTTTACCGTGATAATCATCGCAATAAGATTCTGCAGTTCGTCGTACCCTAGACGCCTACATACATGCTCCACGATCCGCAGTCACTCGTCGGTGACTTACTGTCGGCTGGGCTCGTTCCGACGCTGGCGTGCGCCGGGGACGCAAGAAGCCTTTCACGAGCAGCGAGGGGAGGGACGGGCCGAGTCGCGAAGGAGGGCGGTTAAACGCCTCGGGAGCCGACGCTCCGCACCGACCAACTTTGAGAGTAGTTGCATGAAGTTGGAAGTTGCCGAAGCGAAGGGAACAAACTTAGAAGTGTGCCGAGAGTTTCGCCGGAACCCATAAAACCGTACCCACAAAACTGTGAAGATGTCTGTGGGGTTCGGTGCAATATTTGATGCTAAATGAAATTTTGCAATTTTTCTTCTAGCTACACTTGGATGTTGGGTATAGATATTTTGATAATGTTAAGAAATCTCATCCTTCGCACGTATCTTGACAATTTTTACTCGGAGTTATGTTTGGGAGAGAGACGAGACATTATCCGTCAAAATCATCAGTTGAGGGGAGTGGGGTTAGGAGCTTGTAGTACGCTATGTGTGGATTGAGGATGCGCAATCGTGTAGTCTTCGTTTAAAAGAAAATATAGATTTCGTCTACAATCCTCACATCTTATTAGTGTTGGTGTGCGTCAGCACTATTCGTTGTTATCAGCCTCCTGTCTAATAGCGAGTCATCA